AAATTTTAAGCGCAAACTGTTAAGTGCAAAATGACAATCTGAGTTAAACAAATTTTTTTTTCCAATTTACATTAAACCATATTAAGGCTGCACTTTTATACAACATCGATCTTTTGGTGATCTCAGCGATAGAAAAGAATAGCCAAACATTGAGATTTTAGTTTAAATTTTCATTTTTCTTTTGCTTTTAGTTAAGGGCTCTAAACTGAACCATTTCAATTAATGTCAAACATCCAACTATTTCTTATCTGTATATTACAATAAAAGTATAACTGTTAAAGAAATCATTTTCAATCATTTTAGTGTTCAATCTTTATAAAATTTACAATTAATTGACCATTTAACTACCCAACTGCATTTTAAAGATTCAGTTATGTTCAAAGAGAAATTTGTAAATATTTTTATGTCAAAAAATAATAGACTTGTTTTGAGAAGTGTAAGACTACAAAGGGGAAGTGTAGTAAAAAGAAGAATTTTTCCTTATTTTTTAATTTTCTAAAAGTAGTGTTGTCAAATTTTCAATACAGTTTTTTTATTTTAATCCTAATTTCTGCTAACTTTTTTATTTTTTTATTTATTTATTTTTTTTTGCTTACTTATAATTTCACTGTTTACTTTAACTGTACAATCTTTGACAACAATCTGCTGTATTTGAAAAAAAAGAACTCTATGTTTTTGCTTTGAACAATTGCACAATTTAAAAGGTTTGCAAATTAAATCAAAACTTGTCTTCAGGTGTCTTAACTGAAAAGATAAAAAAAAAAAAGAGGAATCAAAGAACTATACATATTTTTTTATATGAAATATATCACTTTTTCAACGTGGGTTTCTACACAGTTCTTTCTTTATTATACAATTTTGATGTGCACCAACAAACAGAGGAATAAATGTTGTTTGGCCAACCCACAAATGACAAACAGCCAATCATCGAGCTAAATTGCTTTCCTGCCCCTAAATTACGCTTGGACGCTTACCTTCTGAACTTCACACCGTTGGCAATATGCCACTGTAGTGACTATTTTAAAATGGTGTCTTAACCTTTTCTCAGGTGGGTACACAGTTACCCAATTTTGCCCTAATTTTTAACGTTCCTTTTTTCTTTTTTGTATCTCTCAGCTGTATGAAGTGTTCACACTTAAGACGGATGCGATTCTGCAGTAATTTTTTCTTTTATTTTTTCAAGAACTTGATAAAAAAAAGTCGTTTCAAAAGCTGGTTCCAAATAATTAATTACTACTTCAGTAGTATTTTTTTTCTTTGTTGAATATTACATGGAAAAGCGATATCAAATCTAAAATTTCATTAGTAATATAAGAAGGAAAATGTTAAACAGAAGAGCAATCGCCGTGTATAGCAAATAACACCGAAGTTTAACAGGACGGTACACAGAATTCATAGCTGTTTCATACGTTGTCGATAATACATGGATTCGTCGTTTTGAATGAATTTAGTGTAATTTCAAGATGCAAGTTTAATTTCTTGTTAAAATTCTGTATCCTTACTTATTTTTCATTGTTCTCACCTACTTCAGATGCCTGTAACATTAAGCTGTGCCTCATTTTTACGCTCTTTTTTGTTGCTGTGCAACAGATATAGTCCACACTGTTAAAAATTCTCGGCAAATAGAGTTTGCTAAAAATATCCTTAAACCCTGTGTACTAAAATAAAAAAAAGTCGAGGGTATTGTCACCAAATTCTGTCTTCTTTTTTTTCAAGCAAAGCAAAAATGTTAAAAATAATAACAAAATCAAGTAGTTGATAGAAACGTGGCTTTTATTGCCTATCACTACACCTTTGAGTTACTCGATGGAAATTATAACCGGGGTTCCCCTTCTAAATTATAATTTTTTTAAAATGATTCTATATATTTTCAAAAAGATATTGTCCACCAGCAGTTTATATTGTAAACGATAATTGTTGCACCCGTTTTTTTCCTTTCAAACATCTGCATTTTCTTTGTTTTTGGCTTCACACTATCAAGATTTATTTTTCTGTGTTTCAAGTCTTTGTAAAAGTTTTATCCGGTCGCTCAATTTAGGCCTTTCAGATGTCGAAACTGTTCAGGAAGAGTTTGCAGTTAATTTTTGCTGGAAAGACAGCAAGTGTATCCAAAGTGTCTTTCAGAGGTTTTACTTTTTTTAGTCCAGAGCAGTGAATGCCTATGTTTTTTAATTATTTTCGATTTCTTGGTAAAATTTCCTTATCAAATTTTCCTTATTTAGAAGCATCGTCACTGAACTGGCAGGATGCATTCGACCTTCGGTCACAGTTAACAGAAGAGGAATGCACTCTGATGGATTCTACCAGAGAATACTGCAAAGATAAGCTGCTTCCACGCGTTACGCAGGCCTTTCGCACCGAAGAATTCGACCCAACTGTAATTCCTGAAATGGGCCAAATGGGACTATTAGGAGCACCTTATCAAGGTTATGGTTGTGCCGGGACATCGTTTGTTGGTTACGGTTTGATTGCGCGAGAGATCGAACGGATTGATAGCGGTTACAGATCAGCATTTAGTGTCCAAACGAGTTTGGTAATATCGCCGATTTACAGGTTTGGTACTGAAGAGCAAAAAGAGAAGTATATTCCAAAACTTGCTGCTGGTGAGAAGATAGGATGCTTTGGTCTAACAGAACCAAATCATGGCTCGGACCCTGCCGGTATGGAGACCAAAGCTAAATGGGATTCTATAAAGAAAGCTTATTTTTTATCTGGGACAAAGTCATGGATTAGTAATTCGCCTGTTGCCGATATTTTTATAGTTTGGGCGAGGAGTGAACGACATAACAATGATGTTATGGGTTTTATTTTGGAGAAGGGAATGCCACGACTGACTGCACCAAAAATCGAAGGCAAGTTGTCTTTGCGAACAAGCATAACTGGGCAGATTGCTATGGATGAAGTAGAAGTGCCTGAAGAGAATATTTTGCCGAAAATAAAAGGCCTTGCTGGTCCATTTGATTGCTTGAATAATGCAAGACTTGGAATAGCATGGGGCGTGTTGGGGTCTGCTGAGGAGTGTTTTCATATATCTCGTCAGTACGCTTTGGATAGACCACAGTTTGGAAGGCCACTTGCAAAGAACCAGCTAATCCAGTTGAAGTTTGCAGATATGCTTACCGAAATAACGCTTGGTTTACAAGCATGTTTGAGAGTGACGCGGTTGAAAGATGCCAAAAAAGTAGTGCCAGAACAAATTTCATTGATTAAAAGGAACAATTGCATGAAAGCATTGGATATTTCTCGGAAGGCGAGAGACATTCTTGGTGGGAATGGTATTGTGGATGAGTACCACGTTATGAGACACTTGGTTAATCTTGAAACAGTAAACACCTATGAGGGCACTCACGATATACATGCCTTAATATTGGGTCGATCAATAACGGGTTTACAAGCCTTCAAGGCTTGAATTTTCATTGCTATTAGGTTGTAAGGTTTTGTCTTCTTTATGTTCAGTATTTGATGTAGTATCCTTACTCAAGTTCGCAGTATGTCGTGCGACAGCACACGTAAACAAAATATTGCTATACTAAAGTTGGTCACCGATCTATCCCGAGAGGGTAGACAGAAGGCCATTTCTATCTGACTATTTGGATACATACAGAAGATGAAAAACCGGAGAGTTCTGTCTTCCTTCATACAGTTCAATTCAAGCTCATGTTGATACTCAATCCTTCCTTATACCAAGTTTTTCATTCTCTTTATTGTCATTTGCTTGATTTGTAATTCGTATCTATTTGGTAAATTACAAGTTTATAATTTATAAGTCTAGTCCAAATGGTTTTTTGATTTCTTCTTCGTTGGCTTAATATTTTGGTTACTATTTCAATGACCTTACATTGAGTAACGGACGAATTTTGAGTAATACTTTCTGTTTCAGTTGTATTTGGTGGTTGAGCAATAAATTTTGTATAAATTATTAGATGTCAAGCGATTATCATCAGTCACGCAAGCATTACTAGATCTACGCTTTTTTGGGTTTACGTCTGTAATCAGTGGAGTTGGGAGGTAGCAGTAACCTCCATTTGTAATTTCATTAAAAATCACAGTCACATAAAGTTAGGCTGGCGTTATAGGCTTTGAAGGCTAGAATTTCTTGCGTTGGGAAAGCGTATAAAATCAAGAAACGTAAACTAGTAGAGGAATGTACCGTATACAATACTCAATTATAAAAGGTCGTTGATTAATGGCAACACACTATATAATGTTGATTTTTACATACTGTGAGTGTAAGGAGGTTGAGATTGATACCTAAAAATTCTTTTTTAAACTTGTGCTTCTTAAGTATCTTTTGCAACTAAACCAAAAATGGCTTTGAATTTTTTAGTATAAACTGCTGAATAATGTTACAGACAACGTCCTTAAATTAATCTGCGTGTAGGAATCCTCATACAAGTTCGGCTGTGATTTAAGCTGTCTGAAATGCTGCTGTGTAAATGATGTTCTTTGAAATGTTTAAATTTCTGAGGTCTATTAGCTAAAGTAGGGTAAAAAAAAACCTTTTCTAAGTTTGATTCAAAACTGTAATAAAAATTCTGCGCAGCATAAATGGGAAAGCTGATCCAATTTGTTTTCACTGATTTGAAAATTTTTTAGCTAAAACTTTAATTTAAATTTATGATACAGTTGCAGAGGGGAATGAGATGGAAATTCTGGATTTTTGACAAGTAGAAATTAGCATATTTATTTTTTTAGAATTTGGAGGATATTTATTTGACGAAAGACCGAGATAGAATTTACGTCTTTCCTTATAGTAAGCTAGTGCTGGCTTGTGACAATCTTTTTCTGCTGATCGATTCGGCATTTGATTCGATACATTTAAATTCGTTACATGTGCTACATTAAAAAATTTTTCAAAAGTAGAGAATTTCAAGTTTGATCACTGGTAATTCTTGGAAGTAGTCGGTACATTCAGGCTGAGTTGCTCTTTCGCTCTACATTTAAGTTTATTTATTCCAGTATTCGTAACCTCGTCATAGCTTATTCATAAGGACATAGTTGCTGAAGTAGAAATCACCGTAAAAAACCATTGATCTAGTCACAGTTAAATCCCAGTTTGATAATGGGCTACGTTTTAGATTTTTGTAGCAAAATTATGAAACACTTCATGTTGTTATATTACTAAAAAACTGAATTGCTTTATATAATGAAAGTCGTCTACAGGCACTTCTATTTCATTTGTTGCAATCTGTAGGTTTACGCTTATTCGCAAACAATTTGTTTTCTACTTCTTTGCAATATGCCTTTCATCAAAATAAAACCTTTAATTTTACTCCTCCATTCAAGCTAATCGACAAATCTTAGTGATTGAGAAAATCTTATCATTCTTATTACATTTTGTTGTGGAAACTTTAACTAACGAATCATTGAAAACAACAGTTAGTCACTTCCCATCTTACAGTGATACCCAGGACAACTTAAGGTTTAGAATTCTGGAAGACTTTGTGTTTTTGGCCGTAGTTGGCGGTTAACGTACGACGACCAGTTACCGTACTGAGATTCTGGCGGAATAAACAATAAAAGCGGTGAAGAACTAGATCGCAGCTTTGCTATGTTCTGCATCGAGTAGTCAGTTTACTTAGCTTATTGTTTAGCTGAGATCATGAAATGACAGTAGGAGTTGGTATCAGAAAAATTTTCATTTAGTTTCCTTCATAAGAGCCATGCCATGCTGGTCAACACAGTAACACTTTGTTTGAGCAATGCGGTAAAAATTTTTGAGCAAAGGAACAGTATACATTAAAAAGCATACTTAATCTTGAAAAAGTGAAAATTAAAAGCTGCGTCTTATAAAATTAAATCATTGAAACCCTAAATTGAAAGCAATTCAGAACTCGCTGTGAAAGATTACGTAGAATGAATGATTTTGGCTGCGGTAACAATCTGAGTCTATCAACCACCACTGACTTCCTCCATATATACTGGTGTACCTCAGCGTGATCTGCTGCGTGCTTTCTTAGAGGATCTCATTGCGAACGAATCAGACTTTACGCTTTACAGAACTTATGGCTTTTATTGTGTAGTTCCGGCATGCAGCACAGTAATTGGCATCGGGCAGATGACCCATAAAAATATTTGAAAATAAATTAAGAGCAACAGTTAGCGATTAAGGCACAAAATATCGGTGGACAACAACTGTTTAAAAATAAATTCAAACCAAAAACATTACTGAACAAACTATGACTTTTGAAAAAATCTAAATGGTATGTTGACTACGCAACTAGAAACGCACTGCTAAATGGTAAGAGCTGAGTTTTTGCCATTTAATTAACACAGTCATCGACTTTAACAATTTTGCTTTGTAAAAAACAGATTTTGGTTGCAATACTTTATTTTTCCTTTTATGTTCTATGTGCAGAATTGAAATTTTTTAGGAAACGATTTATGGAACAGAATGAATGCATGCATTATCAATAGTGAACAATATAGTTATAGAGTCAATATGCCGTCGCCTCAAATTTGACTGTTGCCTGCTGCGAACAAAGACTGGTGCTTTCTCTAGATCTTAGGCCTCAATGTCAGCTTCGTGTACAGAAACTTTTGCGAGCAGTAGCAGAAATGCATAGACATCTTTGATCTAGAAAACCTCAAATATTACGAAAGGCACAGCGAACTAAACTAGCTAAAATAGAAGTTGGTTGCAAAGCTCGATACAGCTTTTCAGCGACTAAACCGTAAAGAGCAGCACGGTAACGCAATTGTAGTAAATTTTAGTTTCACCTTAACTTCAGAGTTCGTTTGTAACCTAATCATCACTTTACTGATCTTGATTTTAAACTTTAGTACTAATGCTGTTATACATTTATTTTACAGGTGAACAGTTTTTCACTGTATTTGACTAGGGTCATCTAATTATTATGAATTAACAAAAACTGTTAAACTTTGTCTAGCCGACTCCTGACAACTAAGGATGACTTTGGTGATAAATTACAATTTATCGACACCTTTTGTTAATTCTTTGCAATAATTTCTGTAACAAAAGATGTTCAAAATTCTAATGAGAACTTAATTTTATTTCAAGAGCTATGGTCTAACATATTGCATGTACCAACAACAATTGTCCTCGTAGTGAGGAACATATTTCAATGTTGTTACCTCTAGATTTTGAGCTTTAATATTGGCTTTTACAATCGTGTCTTTGCATACGACAGTTACAATTAAGCAGATGCTGAAGAAGTAACAGCATACTAATATGATCAGAACCATTTAAATATTCAAATAGCATTATGGGAAATGGTGCTTGTATGTTACTCTTTCGTATCATCATAAGATACTTGTTTCAGCTTGTGAATGGTACTTTTAATTGAGAATAATGCTGATGGTAAACTACAGTTCATCTAGATTATCCTTAGCTGTCTTTAAATCTGGCATTTCTTCTAACTCTTCAGTCTCCAGATAGAGATCGACCTTTTGATTCACTCGTTTACAGCCGGAAGAAGAATAAACTCCACTTGACTTTGGAAAGTACTGAAAACGAGAAAAGATTTTTTGATGAAAAGTAAAACATATTCAATTTGACATTATTTTTTAATTTTCAAAGATAAAAAGTGAAACTTGAACAAATGCATACATTCATACTATCAGCAATACTTTCAACGCGTTTTTTTGTCGGAGTAACAAAGCGAGATTTTAAGTATTTTTCAATGCACAAAATAACATGTTTCCTTTCCAAAGGTAAGTAGGGAACGAAGTGATCGATAAGACTTGAAGCAATCAGTTGACTTTCTTCCATTCCACCTAAAAAGTAGAAATGAGAAAAATAAGTAGATTAATCCTGCTTTCCTGCAACTCGTTCACCTATTGAATTGTAAACATTTAACGCAATAGGTTCCTCCATTTCTTCTAAAGTGATTTGCTCGCGTTCATCGCCTCTGTTATAATGTTCTAATGTCCTATCTGCTACTTCTCCTCCTGCGGCATTGCTGTAAGAAAACTGATAGATTTATGCAGAAAATAGAAAAATGTATTGCTGAGGTAACAAATAAATTTGAAAAAAAAAAAGAAAAAAACAAAAACCTTATAAAAATAAATATGCTTTTCCGATAGTCAACTCCGTCTATATTAGAATGATAATCTGTAAATGGTTTGACAACATCGAATACAGTTTGCGGTGCTTTGTCCACCTCATCAAAAATGAATAAGTTTCTGTCACACAACGATATATTACCACGAATCCAACTCTTTAAATCATTCTAAAACAACTTATAAAAAAGTTTTTAAAGTTTATTTCAGTAGACATATTTGCAACTTTTAAAAAACTGAATTCACAACGAAATTGGTCAAGTATTTTTCAAAAAAATAAAATAATTTAAATTAAAAACTATCAAAAAGAACAAATTTTACTAGAAATAGAGAAAAAATGAGAAAAGAACGAAAAAAATGGTACATACTGCTAACCTTATATTGCTGAACAATTCTTGAATCAGAAAAATGTAGGGTTGATGGAAGCATATGAACGTAGTTACTTTTCTCCCCTTTCCTAAATTAGCGAAAATTTATAGTCAATGCAACATTTTTTATAAATAAAGATTACCACTAATTACTCTATAAAAATTCTTACAAAAAAAGAAGAAAAAAAGTATATAAAAGCTTTACCTAAACATGCTTTGAGCTATCATTTGTGAAGTATAAGTTTTGCCTGTTCCAGGCGTTCCGTGCAACGATATAACTAAGGCCTTGTTAGGATTTCTGAATCAAAGATGCAATAAATATCTGAGAATACGCATACCGTTCTGCTGTACATTATTAAAATTTTGTGGATAAACTGTTTTTGACAGGTGAAATATTGACCTGTTCAACCAGTGTGAACTTATCGCCTTCAAAATGACTTTCTTTGCGAGATGTTGGCCGTACAGTTGACTGTGTATCAGGTATTCTAACACTAAATAAATAAATTCTCAGCAAGAAAAAATTGCTTTCTATTACTGAAGGTAATTCCTACAAAAAATTTGTGAAGATATTTTGAAGTTTTTTAAGAATAAAACTGGTAATTTATAATAGTAATAATGCTGGTCATAGAATTATATACAATTGAGTTACTCAACCTGAAGTGCCTTCATTGAAAAATTGATATTATTATTATGTTAGTAAACAGTAAAAAAAAACAAACTGATGCGAATAAAAGTAAAATTCAAATTTATTGACAAAAAAGTGCTATTTTTGAAAGAGTTTTGTGCTAAAACAGTAAAATAAATATAAATTTCAGGTTAGCTTAATTAATAAGGTAAAGTGCTAAAAAGCAGCACTGTGATACCAAACAAATGAAACTATAATCGCAGGTTTCTTGACCTTAAAAGCTTAATTTTTCACTTCCTTATTCAAATTATTTACAGTGCTTGAAATAAGCCATTTTGCCAGTAACGATTTAATATGTGCGAACGAATAAAGAAATTAGATAGTTTATTTAGTATACAAGAAACTAAATTCAGCTAAACAAAAGAGGAATGCTAACTGTCAATGTCCATTATCACGTCATAGCAGCATTCTTGTAACCGACATTTAAAATTCTGATAACTGCTAGACACCGTTTCAGCGACAGAGACGACAGTTTCTATAACATCTACAATTAACGAATCAGCATCCACCTGCAATATAATTTCCACCAAATCTATTTTATAGGTTACTCAATTGGTATTTAGTCGAGTAATGTCCTAAAAAAAAGTAACAAATGAACAAAAGACTAACTTTTTTGGTCGAGTAAAGTAGTAACAAATATAACAGATTTATAGGAATAATATGATCAACGCTATGCCTTAGTTTCATTGAAAATCACTTGCGGTGTTATCCGTAGCTGTCACAAAAAAAGTTTTAAGCTTCTCCAAAAACACAGTAAATAAAAAGAAAAGATTTTCCCGGTAGAAAAATAAAACATTTTTGCTAAATGTGGCAAAAAAACAGAAAAAAAAAACAAAAATTTGTGATCAGTTTAAAAATTTGGTAATTTTAATTATTAAAACTTATACTTTACCTTGGCTTTGCTAGGTGCAAGACAAATTTTAATTAAGTGCGGTAAAAAATGCGAATTGTTCAAATTGGATTGTCTGTATACAAACAGAAAGCTTCTTTAAACCGTTATAATAAGCCAAGTCAACTTTCGTTCAGCGCTTTAGCAGATAAAATTAAACCTTCAAGTATGACTGTTTAACTACGAGTATGTCAAAAATTCATCAAAAACAACTTCAAAGAAATTGTAACAATACTAAGAACTATACTTAACACAATAAGAGCATGGTTATAAAAATTCTTGAATGTTCGACTGTAGAACAACGTTTCAAATACAGTTTCTTGTCCATAGCACACGTAAAATTAAACTGTACACAAAACTTTTAAAAAATACACATGAACAAAGAGATAATAAGCTCTTGATTCAGTTTTCTTCAAATCAGTCTTCCCTGATTATTTAAAAAATCACAAAAACAGAAAATAAACTATTCATCAAAACCACTTCGCCGTACTCCTGAAACAGAGCAAAATTTGCCGACCAGTTTATTTGATTCAACTTCAGCTTTACTGACTAGAAGTTTTTCAACTTTCAGTTGTTGATAATAAGAGGCTTAAAAACGTTGTTGACCGTACATTATGTTACGGTTTTCTTTTTTTGACGCGACTTTGGCTATAACATTTATCTAAAAGATTTCAGATTATTTTTTGGAAAAAAGCCGGGAGTCACGATTAAAACCCAGTGTCTCAAACCGCGAAGATTTTAAGCGTAAATTCTACACCAAGCTTTCACTGTAAAATATAAACTACTGAAGTTTCCTGTACTAGATATGGTAAAAGTTTAAGTTTGTTTGGTGTTTGCTTCGTTTGCAGTTGACAACCAAATGAACTTGTAAATTTACCAATATCTTTGAAGCGTGAACGCCTTATACAAAGTAACGGTTAATTGAATAAGAATTTAGAATTTATGTCGTGATTTCTGTGTCGTTACCTCAAAAATAACCATAGAAACTAAAATCATTTAGTATTACGAACAGTAACATTGCTGTTTTTTAAATGTAGACTGGTAAAAAAGTTCGTTATTTTAAACAACTTTAAGAGCATCATAACTCGCAAGAGAAAAAGCAATAAGTGCAGAGAAAATTTGATGGTAATGGGGAAGAATCAATAAAAAGTAAGGAAGACCAGATAATGCCATTAAAAAGTCAAAAAAAGTACTAGTCAATCATTGTCCATAGCTTTTAAAGCAAACAGTAGCTGTTGATAATGAGCAAATTATATTGTCTCAAGTAAGCGACAAGTAAACTGCATCCGCTGTGCAAACTGCAAGTTATCATCAAATCTCAGAAGCAACATCCAATGAAGCATATTCTATAAACTAACGTATATAAAATTCTGGTAAAGTATAAGTGGCTAAAAATGGTCCCTAAAATTGTTTTCAGTGTTATAGACAAATTGAAGAAAATTCTATACAGATAAGCATCAAAACTGCTCAGAACTTCAAAAAAACTTTGACACCACAAAGAACTCATATGCTGAGACTTTGAACAGTTTATGAAAGACGATAAACTAAAAATTTTAGATTCTTTTATGTCAGTTGACACCAACTTTCAAGCTAATCTTACTGGGAGCATAATTTTTAAACAGATGAAGGATTGTGCAAGCGAATAAATAAGTGTTAAATTTTGATGAAGCTGAAGTGTAACTTTTCAAATTATTGTAGCATTGGAACAGAAGAATCGACAGAGGTTGAGAGCATTCACATTAATCGTATCAGTTGAAACTTATATGAAACAGCAGATGATAAAAGACATTAAACATACCAGTTTTACCAAAAAAAATCATAAATGCAATAAGAAGTTTTTCTTTAATCGCATAAACAACGTCAAAAACAAGTACATTTCCCAATAAATTCATAGCTTATGAAAGAAAACGATAAAAAAATGAGCAGTTCTTAAACTAAGAAAAGAAAAATTAGCAAGCTTCAGAACCAAAGTAGTAACGCTACACATTATCATTGAACCTGACGAAAAACTGATAAAAAAAAATAACGAAAACTGATTGCTGATAAGAACCCAACTGTTTGAATGTCTTAATATCTGACAGTTTTATGATTGCAGTGCACATGCTCGTATTACTTGTTTAAAAAAAATACGGTTTGCGATAGAAATAATAAAATTTAATAACTTTATTCCATATTTGAAACATATGTATCGCTTATTTCCTTCTATCGTACACATCAGGCGCGATAAAAGTGAAACACAAAAGCTGAGTAGACAAACCTTAAATCAGTCAACTTCTCACATTGTCTCTTAATTTACTTGACTAATATGTCGTGGGTGACGTTCCGCTGTTTACCACTTTTTTTATCAAACGTATTTTTTCCATTTGAAGTGATGGCCGACCAGATAACAAGTTGAACTTATTTCTTAACGCCAGAACTCCTGCTTTTAAGGTTATCATAACCTTAAAGGCTACCAAATAGGAAACTTCATAAAGACCAAAAGAAAAATCGTTTATGAGAAACAGGAGATAAGCAGTATAAATAAAAAAGTGAATGGTTATTTAATTGAGGTTTTCTAATTACCGTTGCTAAACTTAAACAAATATGACAAATAATCTTCTTTTCTTAGGGAAGCAGAAAACCCAAATGAATTTTACAGTTACTCCCAGAATTACATATAGAAAAAAATTGTTGTAACAAGAACGAAAGATTGTAAGAAAACAAATTAACCTTCAAACATGAATAGTAACTACTAACAGACAGCAAACAATAGACTTGCACAACCTGGTAAAATGTCCAAAAAAGCTCCCTCATTTCTTCCGTACGAATTGTTTGGTCATTCCCTTAAAAGTTTCTGGTAGAAGTAAGGAAATATGCGGTTTGCAATTTTTCAAAGTCCACTTCCTTCATCGCCGGCATTTGGAACAAGAACTGCTCAATCTTCTAGGAGGCAAATATGGCGAGGAACACTAGTCGAGACAGTCTACTTCATTAATTTATATATAGTACTAAAAATAAAGAAGTCAACAAGTTCAAACTGCTTGTTGTATTGTTATACCACTACAAGGAAAATAACTGTTACGAAAAAGAACTGAAAATTGTATAGAAATGCTTTTTGGCTTGAAATTCTGTACTTACTGCATCACGACGCTTACAAACTAGCTTTAACTTCTGAATCGCAAGTGTAACACGTACCTGCTTGAAAAAGAGTTTTTTTCTATCTTAGCGGTGTTGATTAGGTATACCACTAGCTCGGTAATCACTTGTCTCGATATCTTCACTTGACTTTGTTTAATCTGCTAGTTTCTTTTCTAGGTAAACGAAAGCATGAAAAAGTTAGTGGTTACTGTGTGGTATATTTAAATATTCTGCTGTAATATTACTCTTCTCTACGGCCCGTTAAATGGATTTTGGTAAAGGATTAGCTTCTTTATAACGGCTGCCTGATAGCGTATCTCCTCAAGTTTCTTCTGATAATCTAGAAAGCAAAGACGAGGTGCTTTATTATTATCTTTTTAAAGTGCAACAAAGAAAAGACCAGTAACAATAATCAACAACAAGCAAAATCCATGAGAAATGCAAAGACAATTCTTTGCTGCAACAAATTGGAATTTTACGAAGAAGTAATACATCTTCTACAAGGAAACTAAGAAAAAATAATTCAGCACTTAATAGTTCTAAATCCTTCAATGTTGTGCATCACAAAAAAGTTTGAAAGACAAAAAAAGTAACCAGAAGGTGACGCATATGGAAAAGTTACTGCATTATTACGAACTAAACTGTTTAAACAAGCAAATGAGAAAAAATGACATTATTTTAGTACCACTGAGTTATCTAACCTCATCAAGCTTACTTTTTTTCAAACGACATCTCTGTGCGGCAAAACCTTGATCTTGAGGTTATAGATCATCAGAGAATTCCTGTCCTTCTGCCATTTCTTTTGACATATAAAGTTCCGCTTTCTGAGCTACCCGCTTGCATCCAGAAGAAGAATATATTCCATTTGATTTCGGAAAGTACTGAACGTGAAGGTTCAGAAGCAAATTATATAAAAAGTTACTGCATTTCCAATACAACCATTTTAAAGCTTAACAAAAATCCTTTAGTAAAGTCTAAAACCCTCGTTTTTGTCTTCCAAGATTTCAATAATCTATAATCAAATGCTAACTTGCAAAGTCTCAGCAATATCGGTAATCCGTTCATTTGTAACAGTGTAACCTTGTGACCTCAAATAGTCACGAATACATAAGAGAATATGCTTCCTTTCTAAGGGCAAGAAAGGAACAAAATGATCAATAAGGTGTCGAGAGATCAATTCACTAGTTTTCAAACCACCTGAAACCAGTGATAAAATTAATTAAGGAATTATCTCTCTATAATGTAAAATTTTTACCTTCGCTATTAAAAGCTTCTTGAATCAGAACTCTTTCCATTTCTTCCAGTGTGATTTGCTCACGCATCTTACCTGCATTGTAATGTTGTAATGTTCTTTGAGCAATTTCATTCCCTCCCGAATTGCTGCAAGAAAATGATTAGAATAAAATGACCATGGAAGTTCTTTTTAATAATAAGCAAGGAAGAGAAGTGAGAAAATAATAGGAGCATGGGAACTCCCTGTTGTTGGTTAGTAAAAGGAACCTAAGAAAGATAAAAATGTTTTTGCGATAATCAACTCCTTCTAAGCTATCATAGTGATCAATAAACGGTTTGATAACATCCATTACTTTCGAGGGCATTTTGTCAACCTCGTCAAAAATAAACAAATTCCTTTCACACAAGGACGCATTACCATGAATCCATGCCTTAAGTTCATTCTGAAAACGCCCAGATTCAATGCTTTATAAACACACACATCACGCTCAAGCAAAAACTCAAATTTACAAACAAAAAAATTTTGAGATATTTCAAGCTTGAAAAAAAAATTAACACTTATCAGAGGTAAATGGAAGACTATTTACGGTATACTAACCTGATAATCAACAACTCTACGAAAATCAGCAAAATGAAGAGTTGACACGAACATGTGAACGTAAGCACTTTTCATTCCTTTCCTAAAATAAATAAGAAGCCAGAACATCACCAGTTAATTAACCTAAATTTCGGTAACGATAGTAGGAAATGATGCTCAAAGAGAGGTGCTGAAAATATTACTCAAACATGCTTTCAGCAATCATGGTTGAAAGATACGTTTTACCAGAACCAGTCCAGCCATGGAATGATATAGCTAGAGCTTTCTTTGGACTTCTAAACATATCAAATAATTATATATTAAAAATGCGGTAATCTTCTTAAAAGGCACTCGTTCTCACTGTTCTTTTAGAACTTCTGTTATAGCGTAATCCAAAAAATACTTGAAACAACCTGGCTGAAATACTAGCCTGTTATTCCAATGTGAGCTTATCGCCCCTAAAACGGTCTGCTGCGCAAGATGCTGTCCGTATAAATCTTTACGCATCAAACTTTCTAACTCTAGAAACAAAAAGCTTCATCAAATAGCTTTAAAAAGGTTTCGCTTATTCAATTCAAACCTAATCAAGACAAAAGTGCTTAGATCTAATATCTCGAAACAAAAATAGAGAAGTAAATGCAAACAATTACAACCCCAGAAACCTCCAACTCAAAGGTGCTAGCCAATAACATGGGAACATTGCAAATTAAAAAATGGTAACTGGATATGAAATCAAAAACTTCTTCCCTACTGTAACTTAATATGTGATTAGAAAACTTTCGATAAAATATACTGATTATAATTCCTCTGCAACCTCAGTCCCTAACTTCAACAATAACGATGAAAAATAATCAAAAGAAACAAATGTATGATGGAACATAAAAGCACTAACTGCTGTGGCTCATTTTTACCCAGTTATCTGTGCAACACTCATACAATTGACATTTATAATACTGAAAAGTGCCACAAAATGCTGCAACAGCAGCCACCACAGCTCCACCGGTTAGTAAACTGACTGGTTCAGCATCTACCTATAATACACGTATTCAGCTAGTCACTTTATCGGTTACTGCATGTCTCCGTTAAAGTTGTTCCAAAGGGAAAGTTGCAAACTAACATTTGCGACAAACTGAAGTAACAATAGGTATGACAGATACACCAAAACCTTATGGCTAGAGCTGTATTTATTCGCCATCCAAAATACCTAAAATGTTTTTTCAACTATACAGGACCTCCGCAGACATGTGTAGTATCGAAACGAAGCAAAAGTAAAGACTCTACTTCAGAAATGCATGATATTTAATGGCATTCCCGTCAATTGTCTCAAAGCTGATAGGCACTATAAGTGTCTACTTATTTTTAAAGAAAAAAATCTAAAGAAAAAGTCATCGCCTTCAATCTTCAAGGTAGCCTTTTCGCCCTAGTTGTTTGTGTTGCAAATGAATTTTGGTCAACTCCATTACAAAACCCTTATTACTAAAACTGCTTAAATGTTAAAATTTGAGAATAATAAACACAAACCGTTTTTGGAAACTGCTACTCATTAGCAAAGCAGTTTCTGCACGGTGCTTTTACGCTCACCAGTATTCCTATGAAACAACTGAGCCTGCCTTTCAGACCCCCACCGTACTGGCACTTCGCCGAACGAACACCTTGAAATCAGCAAAAGTTACAATCAGATTTTGAAAAAAGTACAAGAATAATATTACTAGCGTACAATGTAGGACATGATGCCTGCTCCGTTACAAACGTCCTTTCAGAAGTTCCTTGACTGACTGAGCAACAGTAGTCGAATAGCTTCCGAAAATAAAATTAAAATATAACAAACAATGAATACAAAAAAAACGTTTCAAATGAACTGTTTATGAGATCCGAAGTAAATTACAAACATCTTATTCAAAGGCAAAAACAAACACTTTATATACATCACCACACTACTGTCAATCAAAATAGACCTTTATCACCTAAAATAATGTTAACAACCATTAAAAAACGTCTACAGATGTACCGAGCTACCAACTTCCGGTTAACCCAGGCGGCTAAATCACGATAAAGAATTCAAAATCTACAGAAAGTTTTAACACACGAAGGAAATAAACTGGTGCAGCGTACATTTCTGTATTCCCACAATATGAATAAAAGAAAAATATTTAAAACTGATTTCCCCCATAAGAGAATCTACATCTCAGTTCAATGCAAAATTTGAATCTTAAATATAATATCTCAACGATATTCTAATAATACAGTCAATTAATTTCGAGACCCAATTGACTATAATAAATAGATATTCCCAATGGATAACCGAAATATGAAACAAGTTGCAACGGAAAAAATGAACGGAATAATACAAGAGCAATAATGGCAAGCAAATAAACAAGTTAATCAGAGAGGAAAGAGGTGTGCTCATTACATCACAAGATCCTCATTCAGTCGTCTCCAGCAAGATCCTCACTAATTTTCAAAACGTTTATTGCACGGGGCAATGGACTGCTTGTTGAGGGCAGCTTGTCATACTCCCATAAAGTAAAACCGTCTATAGACCTCTCAACATCGTACGAAGAATGGTCAGCTAAAAGTGGTTAACAGGTCAGCAATAAACAACTTCCAGGATAAAAACATTCAATCTCGAGTTACTTTTGTTGCTCCTTTCCCTCAGCGTGTAAAGTTTGTAATGCGGTGGAACCTTCATAAAACAGCCGTCTAAAAAACGTCCTCGAAACGTCGACTTTTCATTACCTGAAAATTTCTAGAATGCAAGAACTGGACAAGCACGTCCAATTTGTAAAACTCAAGTGTGAGTCCAACAACGAACCTCCGTCGTGCTTCTCCCGTAGGAAGTAAGAACTCACATTGGCTTGGCCAGTATGCTGAATCTTGCACGGTATCGAATGAAGCTCAGGACCAGCCTCATCTGCAGCTTTTTTTCCATTCAAAATGACCACAACAGGCTTGAACATGAGGAGAATGTAAATTCATACAGAAGACACTGAAATCAAGAAAAATCTCATGTACCAAAACTTTCCGCATTTCGCTAATGAAAAATAAATACTTCCCTTGAATCTAATGCGCGCAGAAAGCATTACTTTAACAAAGGCATATTCATCCTACCACTACTTCCAATACTCGAGAATATCTAAATAATGCTAAAAGCTAAAGAAAAAAAGAACAAAACTGCTAGATCTACTACAGACCTACATGCATGGGAAATTTATACCCGTAAAAAAGCAGTGCCAGTGACTCGCCTCTAAACCTCCGACCAGTGGAGAATTTTAAAAGCAATTTTAGCAGTATTACAATCTTCGGAAGACAAATATGAACACAAACTGTAACAGTTGATTCCAGAATACCATTTTAATACAAAAAATGGTTTACAGAGATCATCAAGTCACAAAACTGATTAACTAATGTCAACTGCTTTTCTGATAGTTATCAATTGTTTTATATGGATAAAATATTTCAGGAAAGCAACAAGTAAACCAGATTTTTGTCCAAAAAGCAAAGCCAACAATGACTGATTAACTACAAGGTGACATTCAAATGTTTAATATCAAGGAAAAGAATAATAGAGATAACGAAAGCAATAAAGTAATGCTGAAAAAAAAATGCACGAAGTGCCAAATTCAAAGTAGTTTAAAAATTCAATTTCCGGTACAAGTATAGGTACAGTAAGAGTTGTAGCAAAACACAAATCATTGAAAACTTCCTATAAGAAAACAATAATAATTAAGTACACACTAACATGTTTGGGAAAAAAATGTTGTGTAAATTAGTGTCAAAAGTCTCTGCGGAATTCCAGTTTTCACATAATACCATATTTAACTGCTCAGGCTTTGAACAATTTATAGAATGAGGGAAACCGTTCGGATCGTTCATGTTGACGCATACTTCCAATGTAAAATCATCAGCTACAGAATCCAAACAAAAGCTTTCAACCTTGAAGATCAGCTAAAAAATTAAGAATCAATGAAGAAATTATTTGCAGCAGATAAAAAAAGCTCCATTTTCTGAAAATTTTCCTGATGGCTTACCTTAAAACAATTTTGGTTCCCAGTATCTGCCTCCCATCGTTCAAAAAAGAATGGACTTGTAACATTCAAACACTCCGTCAACGATAAATCAAATCTAAAATGTTATTACAGGCAGTTTTAGTTCAACAACGCGATCAAAACTTCAGAACTAAAAAATTGTCTAACTTATGAGCATGAAACATTAAAGTCGAAACAGCTTATTACTCAGCACTTACTTATAGCATGCACCACAGTAATCATTGTATGCAGAAAGCAACGACGACCCTGCGTCCCAATTCAACTGAAAACAGCTCTCAAGAGAACTTCTGAACTGAGGAGGCACGTTTGGAAATCCAGGAACGTAATGAAAAGTAATTTCATAACTTTCAGAACTGCATCTAAATATCAAAACAGAATTATGCCTCCCTGACGGAACCTACAATGTGCAAAAAAAAGTATCAACATGTAGATCATTTTTTTTATATCCAATAAAACAACAATTTAGTAAGGTTCAACTACAAAACCACACTTCACAGATTCAGAAACTAGCTCCAATTTAAAATTTATAATAGAACACAAGAAAAGGAGCAAACACAAAATTACCTAACGTATAAAGTTATTGCATCTAACTGGAGATTCACTAAGGCAGACTCAGCCAATTCATACTGACCGAGCTCCTCAACTTGTTCAATCCAAGACCATTCTGAGAAAAACATCTGCACTCCACTAGGCGACTTCTCAAATGCTGTGAGGGCTTCTGCATTACTTCTACGAACTTGAAGGTCCGTTGAGCCATTAGAATTGATATAACGGACCAATTCTGTCCACACACAATAACTTTCGGTCATGACGGCAAGTGTACGGTGGAGCAGTAATACAGAAGTCAACCCGCTTTTACATACTAGCCAGCATCTGTCGAAACTAAACTTAAATAACAAAATATAAGTAACCAGTGCTCTACAGTGCACCAGTCTCAACACACACAACAAAAACACATATTCTTCTTGAAACGGGGAGAGAAAGTATCGAAGGAAAGACAAAAATCAAAAATCTACTAACAAACACCAGATCTCTCAACCACACTGCACCCAACCAGCCACCTAGATTCAACGCAAAAATAACTCCCGCGGTTTAAGAAGAAACCCAATTAAGCACAAAATTGGCGACACCTGACGCTTTCATCACAATCAAAATCAGTGAGATATAATTGTTAATATACCTCCCGGACTTTGCACAACAAACTGTCCTCCCCACTATTTAAAAAAGGTCGCATACAATCGTGTAGCAGGATCTAAACCACTAAACTGCTTCGAATCACATAAAAAAAGACTGTGAACACTTTATCAACATTTTCTCATAAATTTAACAATACATTTCAACAAAAACAAGCACCAACAAGTTGCCATATACCGCGGAAGTTTTGTTGCTGACCATCCTCTTATATCATCCTGATCACTACAAACTCGACCTCTAAAATCAATTTTAGTTAGCCTGCTACGTAGATCAATCTACTTCACTTCCCGGTGGCCAACTTTCGAAAAACTTGTGAACGTTCTACTGTATTTATCATCCATTAGAGGTATACTAGAAAACTCAATGTACTAGTCCCTGTAATTTGTGATGAGCAACAAATACAACTAAAAAAAGTGCAATGTGATGCAGCAACAAAAGAGTACTCTCAAGAACTCTTGATCCAAAAAAGTAAGTTCCTGAAAGGTTTCTATGAGGAAAAGCAACGGAGTAGAGAAAAACAGCTACAATACAAAAATCTAACTCTGAAACTTATTAGGTGCTACCTAACAGTGGAAATTTATAAAGTCAGTATATACAACAGGCTACTTTAGATGAAAATCAATCTAAAGTACGGTTTTATTGAGGTTGCGATAACCAATCCCCACACATGTCATAAGCGCCTTATCTTCAGAACCCATCTTGAGAGTCTTCTCCTTCTCATCTCTTATTCTCCACCAATCGTCTATTTTGAAACAAATTCCGAAGTATGCATGCAAATTCCGTAAGGCGTTAACGCTGGAAGAAAAGTAATTGTATAAACACATTTTTGCTTCGGAGTAATGTAACCTTATCATTAGAATCAGAAAAAAAAGAGGAGAACGAACCAATAACTAGTTAGAGGTCCAAACAAATACTTTGAAATGTCTTTACTTCCCAAAGTCATAAATGTGGCAGTAAAAGCCTGAGCGGAAGAATCTACGCAGCCACCCTGAAATTACTGTGAAAGATTATCCCCATGAAAGACAGTGCAAAATAAGTTCTAGCACCTTATAAACTTCATCCAACAACGCTTCTGCTGCAGAATATCCGACTTCTTCTGGGATCAGTGGGTTTCCTTCTTCACCCTTAGGTCTTGATATAGCTTCCCCGTGATACGTAACTCCTTCCGTAGTTTCTGCAGTCAGAAATATACCATAGCCCGGAGAACTGCAAATATTTCAGCTACGAAAGTTTTAGAAAACCTAGTCGAGTCAAGATACATTTAAACACCGGTCATATCATAACAGTAACAAAGTTTTTGAACTAACTTTCCACCACTTGCACCCTTCCGTTGATCAATAGTAATATAAACGTCGGCAATAAAATTACGTAAACCATTCTTAGCTCCTTCAATCATCCGATGAGCTATTGAAGGAGAAACTTTTGTTACATACGCAGTACCCCGTATTTTAGCAATCTTACCTGGCCTCTCAAACTAAAATATTTCAAGATGTAAGAAGCTACTGAAAAGTCGTCAACAGCAACTAAAAGAAAAATCTGCTCAAAGGAAAAGAAGAGGTACCTGCACTGGTTTAAGGGAATTTATTATAGGAGCTTTAAATGACACGTCCCCTCCCCCATCGGGCTTCAAACCGCGAGATATTATCTGAATCAGTAGCGCTCATAGACAGGTCACAGCTAACAAGAAAATTTGAAACTTTGAAGGTCACATACTTTAATCGAAAGAGGGTCATCTGCAATAATAAACCTATTGAATACAGGCCTCCACGTTGCATAAATCGCATCAACGCTCAGTTCATTTGGTGCATTAGTAACTCCCTTCAGTCTTACGTCAAGAGGATACTTACAAAATGGTGCCAACACGATCAGTGGTTCCAAAAAGAAACTGAAGCACAAAAGTAAGAAATTGGCAGTGAAATCAGATTACAAGACTCGTGAATCCTAATAAAACTACCTTAAACATCTACCAACTCCGCAATCAAGTGTTACAGAACCACCATGAAGCACTCCTGGTGTGAAGCGTATCTCAGTACCTGAACATAAATTAATATGAAAAAACCAGAAAAAACGATACGAAAAAATAATATAAGAAAATAATACGGACCTGTTTGACCAATTTCAATCCTCGTTCCATTTGTAACTTTTTCTAAAAGCGACAGCAGTTTGTTCTCAAAATCTAAAAATTTTTTACTAAATTATTGCAATAAAACCGCCTGGGAAACAAACTTTTAGAATGTCAGGCCTAATCATTTATAGATCCAATCACTTTTTAAATTCAACAAAAATAAATTTATTCATCTTCCAATCTGCATCAATCTGAAGAGAGCAAAAATTTGCCTTTTATTCCAGGCTCGTCACTCGATGAACGTATTTTTGTAATTGTAACAGGACGGCCACTCAAAATTGAGAAGATAAGACGTTGTCTCATAAAATTGCACCCCTCAAACCGTAGTTCCTCGTTAACTTCCATGGCATCGCTTGCTCCCAAAGCTACCCCTTGAAGACGTAACGTACGAAGTTAAAGACTAATTAAACTACATGCAGATAGAGTACCAAAGTAATCAGCGGAAAGAAATTATTTAATGATAAAACGTACTCGATGATAAGCTGAAAAAAGAAGCCTTCTAAACATACTTTTAGTGCACTTTAAACTTGCCCAAACAACTCATTCTCTTACAATGGTGCAGATACTTTGAGCAAGACTACCATTCTCATTGTGTGTTTCTAAGCTTACTACCTTTCCAAGCTACAGTCTCCTGAATTTGAAAAATCAATTCTTTCCACTAACTGTTTTAACAGATCCTTCATTTGTGCGCCCCAACACACTAAAGGGAAAGAGCACATTCTACATTCCCATCCTACGCGTCAACTTGCACATGCCTCATTACCGCTACAGCCAGAATCAAATGCTAACAACAGCGAACAGTACTCAAGCAGATACACTAATTATCCATTCAAAAATCTTCAAAATAAATATCATCCAATTTCATTCATTTTAGATTTTCAAAGAATTCTTTTGACGAACAAATAACTTGTCTGGACGTCCCCTGAATTGATCGACATCAAACTGAACAGCAAAACTAAATCCCAATAGGAGCATGGTCACACCATTACTTCCTCTTCTTTTTTTTTTTGTATCTGTAATCCTCAACAAAACATTTTAGTGCTAGACTTTCAAGTAAACATATCACTGCAGAAGTCTCGCAAAAAACAAACCACCAACAACAATGTAGCAAAAAACGATTTCCTTACTGGGCCTTCAAAGACAGCACAGTACTCTATCAAATTTTCAACTGATCCAATAATATGCTATTTTTTGGCTGCTTGCCACTCAAACGTACTGACCTTCCAGCCATGATATGGAAGATTCTGCTTAACACGATAAGCCATAGCAGTTAGACATATTCTTTGTCATCCTAATAAAATACGATTTAACAAGGAATTTAGCAGCATAAAAAGGTAGTGGGAATATCTGAGAAAAGCAATGACTATAGAAGGGAGAGAAATTGTGAAATCTTGGCTGTGGTTACTTTTAATGTAAGTACTAGAATAAAAGGAAACCTGGTATTAACGCCCTCTGATATCTCAGTAAGAAAAAAGTAGTTCTCCAGCTAACAAAAAAAAATGAGTTATTTAGTAAAAATCGTATTCTTGCTTATAAAAATTCTGCAAACCTTGTAAGAATAAGCAGTATTTTCTTTGAAATGCTGTGTCAAAGTTTCTCTCTTTGCTTCCGAAACACCATAGTTGTTGTATGCTAAAACTTGCCCTGACTGATAACAAATATTAAAAAGTTCTAATATACCCACAAATACAGTAACTCAAGTGCGCAAACAGCGTAAAAAAGTAAGCAACTGGTGAGTATAAAAACTAATGATTATTTTTGTGGAACAAATGCCCCCTTGTGAACTAAAGAAACAACATGAAAAAAACCTTCCCTCTAAAGACACGAAAAAAAAATCTACCCAACTACCAGAGTTCCACAGCCCCAGATGTCATCAGCAACACCGCACCTGAAAACAAGTAGTAGTGGCAAGCCGCCAAAGCATAGCACATTGCCACCTCATTTGAAGGTGTCCATCAAACAGAAACCAGCACACATTTATTTCTAGAATCGATTTTGATCACAAGGAATCTCTAGAAGCATTGTTTGCAGTTCCCTTAGATTGGCTTCAATTTTACGTATTTCTGCTTCCAACCAAGGAGCGTAATTTCTTGGATTTCTCATAGCCTAAATTGACTGCTCAATGAATGATATTCAAGAGATCTGCGCGTTATTATACCTTTAGCAAATTAAGTGCAACTCCACGAGACTGTTGAACTGGCGCTACAACTTTTTTGAGGTCATTATTCATCTTTTTTACAATTTTCCTTTCATGTCTCAATCGTCTGACTGTTGATTTAATCTCGTCCTGAACTCGACTCAACTCCTCTATAATCTACAAAAAATCCCCATAATTATATCATTTTGTTGTAATGTTTTAAAGTATTTCCTATAAATACAAAAAATATTAACAAGTCCGTCAGGCGTTAGGTTCCTTCTTTCCTCACTTTCAGGTTTTTGCTGCAATTTCCTGATCCCGTGTGGCTGCAAAGTATCAAAAAGTAATTTCGTTTCTCGTCAGTATATATATATATATATATATATATATATATATATA